CAAATCACAGAATAGGAAGTTATACCAGAAGCGTAACTCGAGCAAATATTTGTCCGCGTTTTTACAAGCGATTCGTCATCAATCACGCCATCCTGGCTAGTACAACCGGCACTTTGTACCTACCAAATCCTGATAAAACTTCCGGCTGTACTAGCCAGGATGGCGTGGCCTGACGTGAGCGAGTTAAAATTTTCGTGGACGTCAAACAATAAGGGAAACGACTAGAGTTACGCTTCTGGTATAACTTCCTATTCTGTGGTGGTAGCGTCAACAAACAGAACTGAACTTGTAATAACAGTGGCCTGAAGATTGCGAAATTGCATGAAACTCTGAGTAGCAACATGTACAATTTGTAAGATTAAATAAATATTGCTCTACAAATTTTTGTGTTGAGCACTCTCCAATCTACTGCAATAACAAAACATTTTATATATATATATATATATATATATATATATATATATATATATATATATATATATATATATATATATATATATATATATATATATATATATATATATATATATATATATATATATATATAAGCAAGACTCTCTCGGCATCTGTTGAAGACTACGATGCATTCTAAAATTAATACTATAAGAACTAGTACCAGTGGCGTGCTGGCAGGGGGGGCCGGGGGGCCACGGCCCCCCCAGCTGGCAATTCTTGGGGGGCGCAAAAATGAAAATGGGGCGCCGAATTTTGAAAGTGGGTGGGAAAAAACACATTCTCGAAAAAATATGTTTACTTCCGCCAAGAAAAGACGTGTTCATAGGCTACAGTATAAAACAGACTAAGTGCATAGGCGACATATATTAAATTACAGACTATTTTGCCTGACCGTATTTGCTACCTCACAGCTCACACGAAATCGTTCATATAAAAACATGATCAGTGATCACAGGCAATGTCTCATTACCGGAATATTGGTCAGGTTTCGATCGAAGCGATCACGGGAATTATGCCCTTTTTTGCTGGTATTATGCCCTTATAATATGCCCTTTATTATGCTTCACGAATCACGAGAGCGGCGCAAATTAGATAGTTGAAGTTATGATAACTGATGTAAAGTTGTGTACGCAATTTAGTTGTTTGCACAAGAAGCATGAGTAATGTAAATAATGAAATAATGCTGAAACATGCCCTTTTGGCAGCCAGGCAAAGAAACCTTAAAATGCATATGCGTGGGGTGCGTGTGTTATTGTATAAAAGAGCTTTAAGTTGTAAATGTGCTCAGAACAGTAGATCAGTAGAGAACAGAATTGGGATTAAATTAATCGCTGGATGTAGTTAGCATTGCATAATTGAAGTACTACTACTAAATTCTAACCAAATTGCAAATTTCGACACGTTATAATGCCGTTTCCTGACCATCAGATTTCTGTCAAATATTCCCCCAAAGTCCAGGAAATGGCATTTCAGAGACTCTAAATTCAAAAATTTCCTGGGGGGCATGCCCCCGGACCTCCCTAGACAAACGTCGCACCTGCGGCACTCGGCTCGTGCCTTCGGCCCTCGTTTATCAAGTGTAACATTATAGGGGCGCATATTGGTTGACAACCCAATGGCCCCTCCAGAAAAATAGTACCCAGCACGCCACTGCATACTACACAAGTTCTACCGTTTCAAATGTGTCTAAATGCCCCTATATACTGGAAGGTTTTCTTATTCAAATACCCGCACACTCAGGCTTGTGTCAGTGAGCCAATGCCCGACCCTGGGGATGGCATTTGTTGTCAAATCCCCCACCTTCGCCCGCCCCCCCCCTCCTGCTTTACATTGATAGGTGCATTACTTTAGAGTTTCCCACGCCTAGTCAACCTGATTCCAGGATCCCTACGATTTTCGTTAGTAACATCCGATCTATTGCACCAAAAATTGACGAACTAGAGTGCGTGGTTAATCAGAATGATTCAGACGTAGTATGTATTACAGAAACGTGGTTATCTGACGAGATACCTGATAATGCAGTTGCAATGCATAGTTTTACCTTGTTCCGGAAAGATCGTGAAAAACGCGGCGGAGGTGTAGCAATATTTGTTAAGTCCAATATTCAATGTAAAAGACTATCAGTTCCTGAAATTCCTGAGTCCGTGACTGAAATTTTATGGTTACAAATGAGGCCCTGTCGACTTCCGAGGGCAGTGTCATCCATTCTGATTGCAGTTGTTTACCACCCACCACATGCGTCGGCTGATGATAATTACAAGGTTATAACCATATTCAAGGTGTTGTTGACTCAAATTTGGCTTGTCATCCAGACAGTCTAATTTGCATCGTGGGCGATTTTAATCCCAATTCAACCAATATATCTTCCAGCCGCTTTCGTCAGTTATGCGGCCTGGCGCAGATTGTAAAAGTTTTCACAAGAGATTCAGGCATCCTTGATTGGTGTTTAACAAATAAACCTAAAATTATGTCTGTACCCGAGAAATTACCCAAGATTGGCTCCAGCGACCATTACTGCTTTGTTGTCAGGCAGAAATTGCCTCGAGCAAAACCACCGCCCAAAGAGACTATCTTTAGACGAGACACCCGTGATAGTCGAATTCGAGAATTTGGCCAGTGGATAACCTCGTTTTCATGGCAAGAGGTGATCTCGAAAGGTTCGTGTCAAGATAAATTTGAATGTTTCCATCGTACTCTTTTAGGAGCTGTTGAAAAATATTTACCTATGAAGGCAGTACGTAAATGCCGCTCCGACAAGCCTTGGATGACAAGCAAGATAAAATCATTGATTAGGAAAAGGCAAACATGTATGGCAAAATATGGGAAGGAGTCCTCTTCCTTCAAATTTTGGAGAAATAAAGTTGCTCAATCCATCAAAGAATGTAAGGAATCGTATTATAAGTCTAAAGTTAGAAACCTAAAAGTCACGGACGCAAGCAAATGGTGGAGAGAGGTTAAAAATCTTTCTGGTATGGCTGACAGAAATAACCAATGGTTTGAGCACCTCATTGATGGTGAAACTGTAGATTCCGTTAATACGTTATGCGAAAGAATCAATCATTTCTTTGTAAATCTCACAAAAGATTTTACGCCTCTCTCACAGGACGATGTTTCTAACTATTCTGCTGGTGATTCTGGTATTGCGGATGATCTCTTGGCTTCAACTGGCGAAGTTTATAAATCCCTTTGTTCTTTAAAGACAGGGAAAGCCCCGGGACCGGATGGAATCCCGAATGTAATTCTAAAAACGTTTGCCTTTGAGTTAGCGCCAGTAATCGCTGATATTTATAACTCATCCTTACGTGATGCCTATTTGCCTCCTCTATTAAAGAGAGCATCTGTTACACCTCTTCCCAAACAATCTCCACCGGGCTCCATTGAAAATGGTATCAGACCCATCTCACTCACTTGCGAAATTGCTAAAGTGATGGAAGGTCTCACCTTAGCGAGAATCCTGCCATCCATTATAAGTCACTTGGATAACAAACAATTTGCTATGGCTGGAAAATCTACGCAACAGGCTATAGTATATATTCTCCATCTAGCCCTCGAGGCCCTTGACAAGGGTGGTTGCACCCTCCGATTTTTCTTTGCTGATTTCCGCAAGGGATTCGATCTGATTGACCACAAGATTCTACTTGATAAACTATCTAAACTTGGCACTCATAACGTTGTGTTAGGATGGATCGCTGCCTTTTTATATAAAAGGTCTCAGTTCGTTCGTATTGGGTCGGATGCATCTACACTTCAATATATCAATGGTGGTATTCCACAAGGTACTAAGCTTGGCCCGATCCTCTTTGCCGTAATGGTGAATGAACTTTTGTCTGCGTGGGGCCCCCGTGCTAAGTTCGTTGATGATCTTACCGCTTTGGAAATTGTACCTAGAAATTCCCCTTCCTTGATGAATCATATCGTGGCAGATATACACTCGTTTGCTGAAGTGAACAATATGAAGCTGAATCCTGCCAAGTGTAAAGATATGATTGTTAACTTTCTTCATTTCAATACTAGTGTTTTGCAACCTATCATCATTGGTGCAACACGCGTGGAATCTGTTTCATCATTTAAACTGCTCGGAGTGTATGTTACCAGTGATTTAACATGGTCTGTGCATTGTGAATACATTATTAAGAAATCCAATAGGCGTTTATATGCGTTGAGGAAGCTTAAGAGGAGTGGGGTAGCCCCAACAGACATCCTATGTGTTTATTGTGCAATTATAAGATCAGTATTGGAATACGCTTCTGTCGTTTTCGCCAACCTTCCTCAAAATCTTAGCGACGATCTTGAAAGGGTCCAGAAACGAGCACTGGCCATAATATACCCTAACTGTTCCTATGATGATGCCCTAAAACTAGCTGGTATCGAACCGCTTGTCTTACGGAGGGACGCCGCCTGTAAGAGATTTGTGGAGACAATCCTACCTGGAAACCCACTCTATCCAATTGTTCATAGCCGGTCAGCACCAGTGAACCATGGTTATAAACTTAGATCTGACAATGTTGCGAGGAATATCAGGATGCGAACAGACCGGTTTCAGAAATTCGTTACCATTAAGTATGCGACCTGAACTGTGATCGTTGAACCTAATAACTCTATTGTCTAGTTATACATTCATTTTTAACTATAATAAATTATGTACACCTCTCAGATAATTTTGTATAAGTTTTATATACTGTAAATAATATTTGTAAATAAGATTTTTGTAATGACCTGTAATTCAGTTTCTACTGCAAGGGTTTTTTTTAATAAACTATTACTACTATTACTACTAATCTCGTTTCTCACACCAAACACGAGATTGCGTGGGAAAACTCTAAAGGAATTACCACAAATAATCGCTATGGTCAAAGACTTTGCCCAGAAGCGTGGCATATAAATATGAGTCATCATGCTTTGAATATGGATGACGATGCCTATTTGCCAGAGGTATATATTATGCATCTTATTGGCAGGTGGCGTCATCCCTTGGGTATTTAAGAAGCCAAGATCGCAATTTTAGGTCACCCCTGGATGAAGACACTAGACTGGAGTGTCGAAACGTTGGGTTTTGATTGCAATTCGACTGGGCTTTGTGATCATTTATTTAACCAGAGTACTGTAACGAGCGAAACATGATATTTGGATGGTATTTCAAAGATATTTGGATGGTCAACCAAAAACTATCAAATACTTAGTAGTGAGTATAAAATATATATTTAAACAATGCTATAATTAATACCACGTACTATAGAGTAATTAATAGCACATTAGTTTTCTTTTCGTGTAAAACTACACAATCACTACAATCCACTGCCTCCTCATCAAAGTTATTCACATTGTCAATTTATCTTCATCCATGTCTCATTGTTCTCAGAATTGCTGCATTGGTTCAGTGCATTTAAAATTTGCTTTAAAACATGAGCATGTTTTTGTTTGACAAGCCTTTTTGCATTCACAATTTCACAGCTTAACAAATTTTATAAAAATGCTGTGTGCTCCGGAGCAGGCCCCTGAGTCCCCAATGTGAGCCATGTACAGGGGTTGGAAAAAGTATCAGGCCACAGGACCGAAAATTTAGACAAAAGGAGAAATTAATTCAGAGGGGGAAATTGTAACCAATAGAAAGAATGTTACCTGTTCTGTAGGAATGAGCTAAAAAATGCAACTATAAGTACATCCATCTTCATTCATAGTGTGATGTAGTGTATATTAAATGTATAGATTATAGAGTGACATAACAAATGTTGCATGGGATATTCATTTTTAGCCAATCTGGGGCACTTGATTCTTTCATAATATTCTGGGCATTGTCTCCTTCATAGCGACTCTTTGTGTTGAGATTTCTCCCCATGAGCGGCTGCTCACTCGAGCACACTATTCTATAAAGATGCTGTTAGCTCCAGATGGAGCAGGTCCTTGGGTCTCCCATGTACAGGGGGTGGAAAAAGTATCAGACTACGGGATCAAAAATTTAGACAAAAGGAGAAATTCAGAGGGAAATTTGTATGAATAAGCTCAAAAATGCAACTATAAGTGCATCCATATGGCTTCATTTATAGTGTGATCGTGTATAAATGTATAGATTATAGAGTGACATAACAAATGTTGCATTGGATATTCATTTTTAGCCAATCTGGGGCAC